GTACGAGTCGAGTGGAGGTGAGAGTTCAGAACAGGCACAAGTACACGAGCAGGAGGAGCAGGGCGCAAATGACAGTTCGGAGCAAGTTACTTCGACACCTAATTCGAATCGGAGCCCGAGTCCAGTTCGTAAGGTGAAGAGGTATAGAACTAGATCGGGAGGATAAAAGTCTATCGGGTGAAGAGGAATGATTAGTTTTAGTGGGATTGTGATGGTTACTGGCGTGGTTTGAATTTTGCTCCGAGATTTTGATTTTGATATTGACATTGATTTTGCGAATTCTTTCCTATCTGTACTTTCTTCTCGTCGTTCATAATTATCTCTTTTCTCTCTTCTTTCTTGACTGTTTGAATGCTGTTATTCGTAATTATGTTATCTGTACTATGTTACCACGAGTTGTTTCGAAAATGTGAAAGGATAGGAGTAATAAGTAACGTATATACGACTTTTTCAAGCTTATGATTCCTACTTGATAAGATGAGTGAACGAATCTATAATTGTGATTCGAATAAACACAGTAAATAATATCTGATGGATATTAGAATGAAGATGCACGCGTGATAAATATATCATCTCCAATGTAAGATTACATATGCCAATATTTCATTCCCTACCTATTCAACGAAGAAAGTCAGCCTCGCTTGAACATTCTTTTCTTACCGAACTGGTAGATTTCCCATGTTTCTCTACACGCGTATTTTGATATTCTTTATCTTCTATTTTTTCTCTCAATTTGTTGTAGAACTGTAGATTATTTCCATATATCCTATCACACAACGAACATTTCAACTGCTCAAAGTAGATAGGTAGATATAGGTCAACGAGCAGAAGCTTGCATGGTCAACATAATCATATCGTTGTATTCGTTTCCTGGTATCATGTCTGCGGTTATATACCAAAAATCTGTATCTAGTTTACCAGCCGAGAATGTTTATTGTATACCTATCATAGCAATGCCACGGATTTAGGGTATTGCCAAATCATATCGTATTATCCATCCCGTCCCATTCTTTATGTCTATTGGATGGTATATGAACATCTCATCTACGATTTCATCAGCGCGTAAAGGTTAAGCAATACAATATTCACTTCATATTTTCTGCTCTTCAACCCCATCCTGCATCATCTCCTCACCTCTTCTCCGCATCCCCAGAAACCCACACCCCTTCCAACCCACTCTCAGCATTCTCTCCCTCGCTTCCTCTCCTCACCTCCTCCCCCTCCACCACATCCCCATAAAACGACCTCTCAACCAACGATTCTCTCGCCGGCCAAACCAAACTCACCCCCACATAAACCACCACACTCACCACAAACCCAAACAACCAATCAAACGAATAAAGATTTTCCGCACCCTGACTAATCCTCACCTCATCCGTTTTCACCCCCGTCTGCTCATCCGTCTTCAACGCAATATTATACGCCAACCCGGGCAGATTTGGACACACCGCTAGCAGCAACGCCAACAGCGCGCGCCAGTTAACTCCATACGCGTATCGATATCTTCCGAGGGGATCGTAGAGCGCCGGAACATCCAGATGTTGTTTCCGCACCAACCAGTAATCCACCGCGAGAATACCCGCAATGGGCGCGAGGAACACGGCATACCCGCCCATGAAAGAGAGGAAGGTTTGGGCCGAGCTGATGATTTTCCACGGGACGATGACCCATCCGCCGACGATGGCGGCGATGACGCAGCCGCGCTCGATGTTGATGTAGCGGGGGAAGAGAACGGTGAGATCGTTTGCTGCACTGATAGAGTTTGCGGTGATGTTTGTGCCGACTTGTGCGATGTACCAGGCGGCGGCTGCGAAGAATGCTGCGGCCCGTCCGCCGTGCCCCAGTTCTAGCCATTTGGCGAGGATATCGAGGGGGTTCCAGAGGGGTTCTCCATAGATGACTCCGGTGGCTGAGGTGGTGATTATACCAATAGTACCACACAGGGTAAAGATGAGAGGAAGGAAGGGAAGTTGAATGAATTGGCCTTTGGAAGATCGTGCATAGCGGGAGAAATCGGGGATATTGCATGATAGTGTAGCCCACGTGCCTGTGACTGATGACATGCAGGAAAGCCAGAGATATGGTTTGGTGGATCCGGAGACGGTAGGTTGGAGGTCGAAGATCGATCCTGAGCCGCCGGCTTTGTGGATACACCAGCCCATGGTTGCAAGTGCGGCGACAGGGGCTGCGATGAGTTTTGTAACGAAGAGATATCGGAGACGAGTAGGGGGTATAAGAAGGAGCGGAAGTTGAATTATCCAGAAGAGAAAGTAGCTAAAGATAGTGTCATCAGTATCTCTTACTGTTAATTCAGTAGAATGTCATACCTGATCATCCCCTGCGTAGTGATTCCCTGATCCTCTGGGATATGATTCGGCACATTTGCATAACTAGGCCAAATAGCCAATATCATAATCGTAACACACTGCGCTCCGCCCGCGCCTACTATACCCAACCAAAACATCGCCAGTACTGCTCTCGAAACTATACAAAAATATGCAAAATAATATCCAAAAGACGCTCGAATTGCTACTGAAAATGGAATATGGAATTTTGCACCGATAGCTCCATTGAGTACCACGGGAATCGCAACGCAGGTCGTTCCTACTACCATCTTTTGTGCTTGTCAGCTTTGGCGTGATGTTTATGAGATGTTCATGCTATATAAAAAGATGTCAAATAAACTCACAATTGGAATTGCTTCTCTCCACGTTAAACCCACCGCCAGAACACTACTCGCCGTCTCCCAAGTACTCAGAGTGATTGTGTCAGTTGCCCAATATGCCATCCTACATTTTATATTATCAGCAAATACCTCACCGCATTCTATCTCTCATCTATTCCCCAAATCAACCCAATATCCACCAGCATTCCCTATCTCCGCCCCTGATCAACTCTCAACACAACCTCACGAAATCACAAATAACAAACTCACCAAGTCCACAAAGTCCAAGTTTGATTTTCCTTCTTCACTGGATCCATATCCTCATTCGTCCAAACATGCTCTGGCGCCAACGCACTTTTCTGTTTCGGCAATTGCCATGCTCTGACCGTTGTGCATCGTTCTTTAATCTGTCTTCCGGTAGGAACATATGGTATCGAAGTGAAAGAACGCATCGTTACGTTTTGCCTCTTTTCAACAACAGCAAATGACCTCTTGACCGTATCTATGAGCAAACCCTTCTTTCCTCCAGTCTCAGGCTTCGAACCGCACTTCAAAGCAAAAAACAAACGACCAAGACCAAGAACGACAGAAGAGGGAACGAAGAACCTCGGTCTGTGGTATAAATAAACATTTGATTAAATACCTCATCCCACCTAAACTCAAACTTTACCTATAAGGTAGGTAGGTAACTTTCTATCCATATTTAAAACCCCCTCCTTCCCCTCATCGCATTTGCATATCGTGTACTACGCGATAGATATCGAACCGGAGAAGGATAAGCAGAATGATAAGGCCAATGCAGAGATATGCAGAAGCAGATATGTTCTTACCAGGGAGTGGTCAATCGCGAGCGAATCAGATGAGAATCATCCGACAACCTTGCACTTGCAGATCTCGACAGATGTGGGCGAGATGAGATAGATAGATAGGTGTCTTAGAAAAGCTTAATGCTATTTCATCTTCGAGCTTCATCTCACTAGCAGTATTCCATATACCTCACTCGAATGTATACACTGATTCCGTTCGTGGTTTATCGTATTCCTTCTTGAACATCACATCGCGAATCTCCCATATCATCAAAAACAACAATATAAAGTTCAAGGTGATCTCCACCCCCCAAAATTTCGAACAATAGATAGTCTCGACCTCGTAAAATTGACAAACAGCCACCCAGCCCTAACCGCATCCATATAACCTTACATACCCGCCTAGCGTACACAACTGTCGAAACCCACACAAGCAAGCACTACGCACTGAAGATCTCCACACCGGGCACTCCCTCGATCAATAGGGTCTGAGCAGGAATCTCCAAATCCAATCGCATCCTTGTAGCGGGCAGCGCTTTTCTTCATGATTTCATCGAAAAGTGATTGTTCAGCTGTCGTGAATCAGAATTCCATGACTGACTCTGCCAAGGAACGACAGGAAGCATCCACCTGGGGAGAATCTGAAGAATACCTAGTATTCATTCAGCCTATTACCCACTATCCCTCATTCATCAGATAATGGGAAAAAATAGGAAGGAAGGGCAAAGTTCTGATCACAGATGTCTAGTAACAGTCTCGAATAACACTTCTCTACCACTCAAACCCTCATACACAGAACCACCTCCCCAGCTCCCTCCACATACATATAACATACAAAATCTCTCTAAACAATACCTAGTATTCACATCATCTTAAAGCTTACCCAGATATTCTCCAGTTCATTTTCCTTTCTTGCCACCCCAATCCCTCCCATTCCCTCCCTCCTCTCAAAATCACGTCATATCATACACATCACATGACCAAACATCAACACCATCCATCTATGTAAACCTACCCGACCACTTATTAACAATGCAATCTAAAAATCCTAATGTTCATGATCCTCACCATTATGAATTTCTCGCCAGCTCTAAGAAGATAGTACGAGAATCTCTTGACAAGTACTCGTACATGTTACCTGATGGAACCATGAACTACTCTTTGGATCTCAGTCATTCAAAACGGTAGGGCATGGAATTCTATACTTGATTTGGAAAAAGTGATCACACAATTCCAGACTTTGTCTAGCAGCTGCGACATATATCACGTAATAAAGCCCTCAAACAAAGTGGCAAGAATAAAAGACCATAAACATGGGTCTAATGATACACTCAAACAACACATCACATGAGGTAAATGCTTCACTTATAATGCTCTCTGTTATACACATCTCTATACTATCACAATGCATTTCCTCCACTTCAATACATGCATGATGCTATCCTCAAGGACTGCATCTAAAACACGCTTCCGCTGAATGCAAACTGCTAAAATTACAGATTTCACTACGAGCCCTAAGTTGAAATGATTTACTGTTCCTCCCCATCAGAGAAATATTCGAAATCATTGGGCACAGTAGCTTCCTCGTCACCCTCATCGTCTTCATCGACAGCGGTCAACACGCCTGCTGCTGCTGCAGCTCCTGAGAATGCACCTGCAGCTTCTCCTTGAGCATGGGCTTGACGACGCAAGTTGAAGGCTTCGTTGCGTAGATCCCCAAAAGTTGTAAATGTTGCAGCCTTTTCGACATTAACTTTCTTGACTTTTTCTTCAATCAAGACCTTTTCTTCTTCTGGCTGAGTATCAATCATTACGATAACACCCCCAGTAGGTTTCTTGACTGGCTTGTATCGACCAGCTGGGAAACTAATAAACTTGAGTTGAGATGGTAAAACTCTGGACATGTTTTCAATCTCATACCCAACCTTCTCCTTCTCAAGTTTCTTCTTCAAGGTCTCTCCAGGGGTATCTTTCTCGCCTTCGTCCTTCTTCTCGGCAGACTTCTCTTCAGTGTCTTTTGATGACTCATCTACATCCATCTTATCATCAGCTGAGGAGGGAAGTTTTGGTGTGGCAGGAGTCTGATCGATATCCATACTCTCTCGTCGTTGAGCACGCTCTTTCTTCTGTGCTCTGCGTTTTGCTTGAGCGGTTGTCGATAAAACGGCAGTTGCGATCAAAGTTGGTGCATCCTCAGTCTTGACTTCTTGCTCTGGTGGATAGTCAAAAAGGCTTGGACGAGTAGCACTGTGGAATTTGAAACTTGGAATCTCCAATTCGCTGTTCAAACCGATCATAGATGTAGGGGTAAAGGTCAAGGAGAGGAAATGGGTGAATGGGAACCAGTACCAGTATTGTGTAAAGACTGCCATACCGACAATACCTGCCATGTTCAGGTTACCGGTTTGAGTTTGTAATCCGATTGTGCAATTGCGTCCTCCAGCGTCAATGATACCCAATGCTAATGCACAACCAAACTTGGCCATAGCGTCTTCATGACGATCTGCGACGACCTTCTTCAAGGTCTTGCGAATTTCTGTAACCTTTGGATTCATTGCCTCATTCTGTTGAACCATGATCATGGCAAGAGAGATCAAGGCACCCTGTCGAACAAAGTCTGTAGGGTCCTTCATCATAGGCTCAAGCAAATCTATAGCTTCATCAAGACCGGTACCGGCACAAGAAATACCAAGGGCCATGGCGGCACCGTATCTAACATGTGGGTTGTAAGATTCGGACAATAGTTCGACCATACGTGGCACACTTCCGGGCTTGCGGAACAAAATGAAACCCAAACTCATGACGGCAACACGACGAACATCGTCGTTCACATCACTGACGGCCACATGAAGTAATTGACGAACTGCCTTGTTGCTTCCAGTGCCACAGTATGCCAAAGCTACAGTCAAGATACCACCATAACGGAGAGATGGGTCTGCGTCTTTCAATAATCCATTAATGAGATCATCGGCTCCTTCTTGTCGGCCGTACATAACTAATGCCATACCGAGAGCAAGACCTCGAACAGTTTTCTCGTGTTGAGTGTCGTGAGCATAGAGGATCATCTCTTGCAAAACTTTCTCATTTCCAGTTCCCAACATAATGAGACCAATCGCAAGACCAACAGCCTCGCCATTGAGCGCAGAATCGGTTAAAAGTACGTTTTGCAAGTTCTCGAGAATCTTTTGGTCACCTGTAGCCATACCAGCAATACCCAATCCTAACGCACCACCGTGCTGGATAACCTCTTCTTGGGTCTCATTAAAGCTTTTCTTCAAATACTCGAGGGCATCGGCGCCATGGTTGGCATAGATCAACCCATAAGCATAAAGAGCACCGCCCTGACTATAGTGTGAACCTGTAATTGACGAGGGTTTGGGTAAGTAAGGCTCCAACAGTCTCTTGGCCTGTGAAAGATTGCCGCGGTGAATAACACCAAGAGCAGCAGTAGCAGAAAACTTTGACCAGTTGACTGCCTTTCCTAGCCAATCTAGATTGTCGCGGAAGAATTTGTCGTTGGTTGTGCCGTGGTTCATGAACGCATTGCAGAAGGTAACAGCTGTGTGGAAGATGGAGTTGCGACCTTCAAGACTGTCACGAACCCTGTTGAGAATACTGAGGTCGGTGTGGTTATTACGGTATAAGAATTCAAGATTTAGTCGAATGGTCTCACTACCATTGAGGATCTTTCGGATCGAGTCATAAACCTTGAGTTGTTCATCCGAAGCTCCTTCGGTAGAGTCCCCAGCTTGATCGTTCAACTCTCCCAAGAGCTGATCAGATTCTGTTGCTACTCAAGAAATCAGTAAAAACTCAAGCTTGAATGTAGAGTCTACTCACGCTCCTCTGCAGATGGCTCCGCCTCGGTGACCTTCTTGGGCAAAGATTTAATAACTTTAGCGAGGAATTCTTGAGTACCATTATCGTATAAGTCGAAAGCGATCTGATATGCGATAGCGGTAGAAGTTTGATCATCCTTAACCTAAAGACTGTCAGCTTCATTCTTATTAAGACGGAAAGTCACTGTGGCTTCGTCCAGATAGTCTACTTACCACAAGCTTTTTCAACATTGCCGATGCCTCTTCGTCGATGTTGAGGTAAACAACACATTTTGCAATTGCAAAATAATCGGGAGTTGGTATATCGTTCAGTAGATCCAAGATCAATCTGAGTATCTCTGTTCGAAGTCCTCTCTCTTGTACGACACCCATACAGATATCCAAGACATATTCCATCAATTCTTCTGTTGGGCCAGCTGTACCTTCGGGCACCTTCGATTTTGACTTCTTTTCGTCGTCACTAGCACGCTTGATAACTCTTCGTAAAACCTCGAGATTTCTAGCCTCAACCGCAATTCCTACCACTTGTCTATATCTCCCTTCGCGTAAACAATTCTCAAATAATCTTTCAACAATCTTTTGGAGCGCAATCTGAGTAGAACGATCTGGCAAGATGGTAGAATCCGAAGTCTTGCCTTCTGCTGCAGGTTGTTCCAACATGTTATTGGTAGAGGCTCGTGATAGAAGAGATTTTGATGGTAGAGTAGACTGCGAGAAAGGCGTGGTGGGTGAAGTCAACGCAGCAGCAGCAGCGCTGATGTCATTGAGTCCACTTGCGAATGTAGTTGCGAGAGTAGGTAAAGCATTATCCCGTTTCTTTTCCTGCGGTGCAGCATGGTGTTGAGCAGATACACTGATATAAGTGTCGACACATTTTGAAATGATGGTTTCTTCGAATTCGCCAGGATTGTCGAGTTGGAAGAGATCACCCGCTCCGAGAGCAAATGACATACTCTCATTGTAAGCTTGTAAATGATAGTAGACCTTTGCTAACACTAAGGAAGCTAGTCGTCGCTCGGGGAAGGATTCATCTTCGTAAAGCGCCTCACTGAAAAGTGGCCAAATTAATCTTGAGTTGGTCATGGTGATGGAGCTATCTTGGGATGGATTATCTGCGACGAATTGAATTTGACTTACATTTGAGAAATAGAACCTGCAACCTCTGTCCATAGGGTATCAATATCATCATTCAACGTTTGAAGAGCAAAGATCTTGAGCTCTGGCTCTTCATCTGAGAGGAAACCCAAGACACCAGAGGCTGAAGTTAGACTCGGCATGGTTGGCTAAATGGCTCGAAACCCGAAGAGATCTGAATTCGCACAAGTTGAATTATTTGAAGAAGGTTAATAAAAGTTACTCTCCAAGAATATGAAGGACTTGAAAGAGATTTGATGGATTTGATAGTTGAAAATGAGTTTGTGTGGAGGATACAAACCTTTGAATAGAAGCGTATCGATTAACCTACAACAATCAGGCACACCTTTTGGCACGTCAACACTCAAACAGCTTCAACTACGAATTAAGCTTAGTGGAGAATGACGGGATTAGCCGGCAGTGAGCAGTAGGTAGGTTACATAATCATTCCGGAACTCAGATAGATAAGGCTGAGAGGTTGAGAAGAAGACAAGGTCAGACAAGACAAGACAAGGCTGAGAACATTTATTATTAGGTCCACGAGTATTTTATTACCCATCTACCTAGTATTGGTGTGTACTGGAAACAGTACACTTGCTCTCGGGGAGCTACTAGCAATCAATTCATCTGGAACCAATCCTCTGACTTATAATTCGTATAAATATCAATCTTTTGAAGATATACTTCAAATCATCATCATCGAAACTTTATCTATTATATACGCCGTATTCACTGCAAATCATGCTGTCACACCTTTGATGAGGTAGGTACCTACCTAGATACTAAATACCTCTTATTACTGGTATACTTACTGGTCGGTATCTAACCTGCCTCCCTCCCTGCCTCCCTACCTACCACCTATACTGTAGGTAGTTCCATCATATGCAAATAAATTCCCAAAGACCACAAACCACAAACCACCAAACCACAAACCACCAAACCACCAAACTTATTATTATTGTTATTATCATTATTTCTCGTGCTTCAAATCTCCAACCCCCTATTCATCATCCCAAAACAATCAATTCTCTATCACCAAATATTCCCTTCCAATATGTACTCAATATCGACTGTAAATTTTATAATCCTTTAAATTTCAATTTTTGGTCCATCTTGTCAAGCTCCCCTCCAAAAATTGCTGTGGTCAATCCCGCCAATCTTGCCGTTATTGTTTGCGTAGTTCTAAACTTTTTCCATCCTGATACGCTTTCTTTGTTCGAATGTGTTTGCGCCTGCCTATCCTTTGCGCCAACTTCATTATCCCATACATTCGAGAACGAGATCAAGCCAACCGTACGACGAAATTCGACATCATCAACAAATGAACCACCCGTGGAAGATCTGAAAGAAATATTGAGAGTGTAGCTCGTGGGGCCAGTCAGGGTGTATATGGTGGTGGTGGTGCTGCTACTGCTACTGCTACTGGACAACGAGTCGCAAAAATGGACCTCCGTTCAATCATCAATACGGAAAATGGTGAAGGGGCTCGATCGAAACAAAATGCGCCGACGCCAGTTACTCCAATTCAGACGGGTCCCCCCTTAGGACAAGGACAACAAATCTACAGGAATTATAGTCATTCGTCGCAAGTCTCGCCAGGTCCGGGCAAACATGGCTCACAATCACAAGAGTACGGTTCACAAAATGGTGGGCCTTATGCATCGCCAACTACCTATCAATCAACTCATCTAAATCGACCGCCTCCTCCTACTCCCATTCAAGCTCCTCCTCCGAATGACCTTCGTTCTCCAACGGATTCTTATTCGGCCCCCTCACCTTATCGGCATACTTCCACTTCTTCAATAAGCATTGCCGGGAGTGGTCAATACCCGTTCCCGCAAAGTCTTCAAAATCCCCAAAGTCCTGCTCAACGTCATCAATATCCTCCTCCAACTTTTCATCAACCTCAGAGAGAAAGTTATTCGCAGTCTAATCCACCTCTTCATTTACAACAACAACAATATAATTCACACGTTCAACCATCGCCAGTTCCACAAACACCTCCGATTGGGATACCAGGGGCGAGTAATCCCTATTTTCAACATCAAAGATCACAATCTTCACTTTCGAATTCTACACCCACGTCAGCGCACAGTCAGCAGCAGCAGTATCAAAATCAATTCACTCAAGATAGTCCTATACACACAATTCAATTACCGCAAACTCAATTTCCAATACAACATCAACGCCAACAATCTCACCACTCTCAACCTGGAACTCCTTTAGGTCCTCCTTTACAAACACAACGCCAATCATCCGGCGCATTCATACAACCGACTAGTCCTTATCAGCAACGAGCAGTACCCACGAATCCTTTCAACAGTACTCAATACAATCAAATCTCTCCTGCGCCAGCGAACGCTTCGATTCCACCTCGAATGCCAACGACTCCACAAAGTGCTTGCGACTCTCAAAGAACCTCAACAAGCTCCACGCAACAGAGATCTTTGATTGAAAGAGAAAGAAGCCTTAGTGTCAGCCCTAAAACGCGTTTACCTAGTCAGACGAGAGGAAATTCAATGGTTCAGCAGCAGCCGGAAGAATTCAATAATTCTACCAAGCGTAAATTGGAAGATCGGGAAATGTCTTTTGAAGCGCCTCAACGAATTGAGCAATATGAAGTTAAACCACAAATGAACGACGATCATCGATCTAGCTCTACCGCTGCTCCTTCTCCTCAACAACCACCACCCAGAAAGAAGATTCGTTATACTGAGCCACCAATATGGGCCCGAAGTGCCAAGGGGGTAAAGGGTCTAGGCCGTAAGAATATCAACGGCAGACAACACACTCCTCAGCCATCCGCGCAAAGTCTACCAGCTACATTGATCAAGCAAGAAAGCAATGGTATGCGTCAGCCATCACCAGCAGTTCCTCGACCTGTTACAGGAAATGATTATGATTGGGATGGTCCTCTTGGTCCATGGGAGCCGAGTATATCTGGCACAAAGCCACCTGCGGAGATAACGAGACTAGTGGCAGACTTCCTTTACATGCACGTTGTTAATCGAGAAGATACCGGAGAATTAGCCAGTCATGGTGTGGAAATTGAGATTGAAGCAAAGTTAGGACAACTTGTCAGCAAAGAGACGAATGTGAGATTGAGTCTGCCTGTTCGATCGGAAACAGTACTTTTGGATAATCAGTTTGTTGCCTTCAAAAGTACAATGACAGAGGTACGTTACACGAATTTCATAACATTGCCCCGCTAACATGGGTATAGGCTCAACATAGAGGATTGAACGAATTTTTAAATAAAAAAGTCCAGGAATGTATGCCAAGTAATGGTCAGTCGAAACGGCGTGTTAAGATTGACTACTTACATCGACGTGAGACGGACAAGTTTTATGAGCTTCCTTCGTCAATGCATAGCACTTTACCTCCTGCTCTACGGGCTTTACTTAACCCACGTTATTCTGTTAAAGTTCGTGTTACACATGATCAGAAGACGGGTGAACCTCTGGCCAAGATTATCAAAGCTCGAGTAGCAGATTTAGATCTCTACTTCCCAAGTCAAGCACTCGATTGTCGAATTAGTATAAACTTTGAAATGAAGTTTGATGGGAACGTAGAAGAACTCATTGTTTCAGGTGATGGAGCTCAAAGACCGGATCGTAACAAGGATCGTTTGAGTTACAGGCAATCGCATTATCAAGTGGACCTCACTCAAGTCACTCAAAACTTGGTATCAAATGTAAGTCTTGTATGCATCTACCCTCAATCGGAGATTAACTAATCATAATAGGGTGTATCTCGAACTGAAAAGGAACACGAGCTTGAAATCGAACTCTCAGCAGCAGCTGTTACTGATCAAGGTCTCAAAGCTAGACATGGCGAACCAAACGATTATTTCAAACTGGTTGATGGTTTCATAGATAATGTTCGATTATTGGCCAGAACAGCTATACCCGTTTAGACGGTTCTGGTAAAGCTTTCGTTCTTCAGACTACATGAAGTCAAAAATCCTATCTTGTTTATGGCACTCTTGTTTCATCGTGGCGTTTGGGAATTGGGAAAAGATTCAAATGGGTCACATCATAATGAATGTGTGGAAAAGATCGCAATGATATTTTGGTGGTAATATCTTATTTTCTACGAAAGGCAAGAGTAGTCTCCAGATTTACTTTTTGCAAGTATTCTAGCTGCATTTCGGAGCATCACTGGCTGGTTGCACATGGAATGAAACAGTAATTTGGTTTTGAAGAAACGGAGGCTTTCCATGTTGTTATTCTTATTCTTCTTCTTATTGGGAGGGACGGGGAGAAATTGGGAAAGATTGATCATGAGGATGACTTTTGATGATGGGATGTGTAGATGAATAAAAGGAGCGGAAGGAAGGAGGGAAAGAAGGCTTGTTATGCTTGATTGATAGCTAGCGCGATGATATGATCGCTAGTCTGATACGATATTATGCCATGCATACCTAAGTAGGTAGGTATATATGGTTTGTAGATTTTAAATGTAATAATGTATGTCATGCATTTGTTGTGGGGCTTGCTGTAATCGCTTGTGCATGTATGTGTAGGTATATACCTACTAGATGGATATTGTATCAATCCCTTTTCCCTTTTCTATCTTTCTATCCCTCACTCGAAGTCATCCTAACTTCCACTTCCACCCAATATAGCTCACAAATCGAATCCGCATTCAACTCTACTCCCTTCACCTTGAGTTTAGTGTCCCTCCTTCTCCCTCTCCCTCGTGTTTGACCCTTAAGTTTTAACTCTCCATGCTACTCTAATCCCCTTCTCTTCTCCTCTCGCCCCCCTCCCCCCCGCCAATCTTCAATCTTCAATCTTCCATAGAATCTCAAATCCTCAAATCTTCAAACCACCACCCGCCGCCGCATCCCCTCATCCTCTCAGTTTATTTAGCGTGCTATTTCTGCATTTCTCCACCCCCCCCCCCCTTCTCTCTGTTACATACCCATCCATCCATCCATCCATCCATCCATCCATCCATCCATCCATCCACCCTCTCACAAATTGAACCATCAACATCACTCAATCAGATTCTGTAAGCTTACATCATACATTATATATCATACATGATATATCACATTTCACATTCTCCTACCTACTAATTGCAGCCTACGAAGCATGTGATCTTACTAGGTATGTATTATAGATTATATCACATTGGGGCTATCTTCAGTTACGTCTTCTGTTCTATATAGTTATATATATGTTATTGCTAGAACTGATAGGAGGGGGGGTGGGAGATTGATTGGGGGGATTGATTGAGTATATATGGTATGGTATGGAATGGATGGGGATTGGAATTTCAATGAGAGAATTTATGGAGATATGGAGATATGGAGATACTTGTTGTGACTTGCGTTTACTGGAGGTTTTTTGGGAGGGGGTTGGGTTTGGGTTTGAGTTATTTCTGTATGGGTTCGAAGAGAGATGGTGGTAGGATACTTGGATGTGGTGGTAATTTTGACTGAAAGGAATAGGATGAGAACAGTTGGAGCACTTGAGTAGGTGATTTGCACACTTGCGAGATATGGTGGCAACATGCAGAGAAACTATTCGAGTCCTTTTCAGGATTGATGAAGAGCTGAAAAAACGGTTGCAACGCATACCTTTATCATGCCTTAGGAATAGTGGAAAATATATATGCCGTTGATTCATTGAAGCAGCATTGTCAGGAACTGCAAATCTGAGATTATGAATCCCGCACTTCGCCATCAGATAGATGTGGTGATTCTCCATGGGGATAGATACACAATAGCATGTAGATCAGATGAAAATAACGATTGTCAAAGTGCGGGGGATGTTAACTTCTGAATATCAGTTGATCTCAAATTTTTATCCCTATGCTTGCTTGTTGAAGAAGAGAGAGGAAGTTTATTTGTCGTTGTTTCAGATAGATGTGAAGATGTACATCGCCGAGAGGAACGTCTAGAACTTTGAATATATACTACGAGTATACTCGTACGGCCAGGCTGTATGTATTCTTCCGAGACCAGATGCACATACCACAAAATGACAATCTACAAGAGGACGGACGAATCCGCTTTTCTTAGTGGCGGAGTAGCGTTACGCATCTATCTTCTGACAGCACGCTGCACGAAAACTGTATTGAATACCGATAGCTCGGTTTTCCTCAATGGAACGACCCACGCTGCCACCCACACATGCATGCATACATACATACATGGAATGGAAAGCCGATGGAATGAATTCACCATGTGAAAGGAGTCTAGAGTTTACAACATATTATTCATGATTGCCGCCGGAAATCGGGAAATGTGCGAGTACGAGCGGAAGAGTAGATCCTATAAAAGAGTCAAATATATTGTATGGGAGTCATAAGAAGTACACCGCGGATCCCCATATCGAGTGCAAACTCTAAGACCAAACTCTAAGACCAGACTCTATTGGGAATTCCGGTAGTCATTGGTGGAGAGAGATGAACATCAACCGGGCTCCGGAAAGTAAGAACGAAAGAGGGAAAATGTCGACAGAAATAATAATTCTTCCAAACTTCCCAAAGGAGAAGAATTGTGGACACTCATTAGCTGTAAGCGCTGGAGCGGCTCGAGAGCGGTTGCGGGAATATAATCATATAATCATACTAGGAATAGGATGTCACCCCCTTTTTTCCCAGTTCGTAGGATTTTAACCGGGTACGTACCTCGTGCACATCGACTAGGGACATGGCATAGTCAGGAAGGAACCCAGTCAAGTCACTACCAGACTAGTACTGGTACCAAGAGCCAGTATGTACCTCCTTCCACTCTTGCTTTTTTGTACCGAGGATTCAATTAAGGTTCATATTGTCGAACCATTTTCCTTGCAAATAAACGGTTTTGATGTTGTTGTTTGTCTCGATGGAAAGTCTCGATTCGCTTCCATTCCTGCCCGACCTTGAACCCCAGCTGAATGGATAGACACAATAATCATCCTGTTCTTCTTCTTCATCTCATCAACCAAAACCTCAAAGTCCCCAAGGTCCAAGGTAAGCTTACGAATCCACGGGCAAGCCTTCCACCGGCGATCTTCACAAGTCTGTATCCATTATTGTAAAGGAACATGCTTGTGCAGAATAAATACGGAGGGGAGGATTCCAAGTTTCAGTAGCCCCGCAGAATTTGCCAGCATTGCTATGATCAATATGTTGTCGAAGTGCCTTCTTGCTTCAACCGTTAGACGCCCTTAGTTTAACTAACATTCTTCCCTTTGGATCTCATTCTTTTCCTTCTACCACAACTCTCCTCACTTTGCTGCAATTTCGTTGGTGCGTCAAAAGGCCACGAAAATCTTGCGCATGTAGCTCTCACCATGTTGGTGTCTTACACAACTTTGCTGTTCAGAGAGGATGACCACCACCAACAAAAATATACAACCAGACGTGCGCTTTCCTAGAAGCGACGATAAGAACAATGCGACTATCCGAAGTAGTGAGATTTTACCCATTCGTCGAATGATCGCGGTAGATAAATCGAAGAATCCAGCACTACAGAAGAAGGAAATCAAGTTTCGTGCCAGATTACCCAAGGTTAAGACAGGATGTCAAAATTGCAAGTAGGTGCTAGCCTTACGAATATTATTGCCATCGCCGTTGTATTATATCTAACAAACACAAAGAATCAGAAGAATCAAGTGCGACGAAAAATTACCCGGCTGCTCCCGCTGTTTTAGATTTGGAATTTTATGTAGTGGATATCCGAAACAACCGGAGAAGATCAAACCAAATTCTCGTCAAATTGTGCCCATTTTGCCCAAGGGAACGATTTCTGATATTGCACAAGGATCCATAATTGAATTATACCTTGGACCTCGATTTACGGAAGAGCTCGAGGGCAGGTATTTTAAACACTTTTGTGAGAATGTTGCAGCAGGATTAGCTGGCCCACTTCAAACGAGTGTTTGGTCCGAGATCATTCCTCAGGTGTGTGAAATCGAGCCATATATTGCACATGGCTTAGTAGCACTTGGTGCCTTCAGCAAGTATAGCAAGGAGATGGTCCAAGGGGGCGAATCATCAGATACCAAAAAGCACTTGGAATACGCTTTGCGAGAGTATGGAAAAAGTCTACGAGGTATGCAGAAAGCAATTGATGGAAACGTGAGCCGGAGTCCAAGAACAGCTTTGATTGCATGCATGATAGTTTTCTGTATCGAAAGTCTACAGGGACATCAGGCATCCGCTTCTATACACGCAACTAATGGTATTATGATGCTTTACGATTACTATCAATCATCAGCAGCCGGCACCGAATTCACAAAAGAGAATGTCATAGGACCTGAACTTCGAAGAGCTTTCACGGATTTAGATTTACAAGTTTTGCACTTCCTTGATATTCGCCCACCAGCTCACCACGTTATCATAAAGGAGCAGCTCAATCGATACCATCTTCACGGAGCCCAAGTCCCAACTTTTCAGAACATCAAGGATTCTTACGAGTATTTACAAATGATCATGAGAAGGAACCTTCATTTCATCGATATAGCGAGGAAATTACTTTTGGAGACTGACTTTCAAGAGCAATCCACAACCTTTTCACCCAGAGATTGGGAAGGAGCTGCAGATTTACGCCAAAATAATAATCCATGGACTCAGCTAGAGCCACGCGCTTCTCGTTCTTCACCTGCGGCATCACGCGATACTCATCCATGCGGTAAAATCTATGGGGAGGAAGAATCTGCAGCGATGCCTCAAGAATCTCTGAATCCGACCAATTCCGGCGTCGAAGGTAGCTTTGCGGATCCCTGTATGGATCGTGTAGCTGCGGCCCGTTTTCCACCCGAAATACTACGAGAACGCGATATCTATCTGACAGATCTGATGCATTGGGAAAAAGCATCTGAATCTATTCTTCAAAAATGTCTCGCATCTCCTCACCACTCGCAAGAATTTCGGACGGCGGCTCTCCTCAAAACTCACGCCGCCGCTAGTGCCATTCGCCTCCACGGCTCCTTTTTCATCGACGAAATTCAATACGATCAACTTACTCATTACTTCCAAAATATCATTACTTATTGTACATATCTCCATCCTTATTACAGCACCTCATCCTACCACACGAATCTGGGTATCTTAATGCCGCTCTTCGAAGTCGGTACGCATTGTCGCTCTAAGATATTGAGAGACCAGGCAATCGCAATGTCTTTTGTGAGTAAAGAATATAGAGAGGGGGTATGGGATAGTTACGTTGGAGGATTCATCTGTAAATGGATTCGAGATCTGGAGGAACCGTGGCGAGATGAAAAAGGACTGATTCCTGCGGATCGAAGAGCCAAGATTGCGGGATTGAATGTGGTGGTTGAGAAGAGGAGAGCGCAGATGTTTTGTTCGCAGAGGATTGGCGTAGGAAGGGAAAGTGTGACGAAGGATATAATCGTTACTTGGTGATGGATGATTTTAAGGGGTAGTGGCGCGAAAGGAGGGAAAGCGATTTGCAATTGAATCTTGGATCGAGGGTATATATCGTCCTGAATTGGATTGAAATGGAATGAATGGTCGTATGTCATGTAATGTGTTCATTGTGGAATGACGGCGAATTTGTATGTGCATAGTATATATAGTATAGTATAGCATAGTATGATATGATATGATATTAGATTCAAAAGGATCCCAAGTCGCAAAGTAGGAGTAGAAAGAAGTAGAAGTAAGAGTAGAAGGAGGAGTAAAAGTAGAGGAAATACCAAAACTCACAATTCGATTTTAAGCATAACAATTCTTCTGAACATAGGTCCCGGGGAGAGGGGGGGATGCTTGAGGTACTGTGCGTGTAGCTGTGTTTTTTGGTTTCGATGTGGCTAGGTAGTTGATTAGTTTTCCAGACATGGTGACAGAGGGATTATCTACGTTTCGATGCCTAGCGATACATGTGAAAACGTACAACTGGACGAGAAGAGATAGTCGTTTTGATAGATCATACGTGCACATGCATACATGCATAAATGCATCCATACCATTCTCAGCACAAAACACATATACAAATTGGGTATCATTCCGTTCCATTGAACTCTAACAAACAAATTACTCCATGCCCTTGAACTTCAAGATTCCATTTTCAACCGGTCCTTTCTTTCCTCTCTTCTTCTTCTTGCGTTTCTTGCGACCGCCATCTTCCTCATCACTGCTATCTGCCTTGGCATCACTATCATCACTGTCTTTTTCCAATGCGCGCTTTCCGCTATCACCTATGATCTCGTCATTATCCTCGATATATTCTTGCTCTTCTTCTTCCTCTTCCTCTTCATCTTCCTCAACCCTTTCGTTCCAAACTTTAACCGTATCTCCACCTCCAGAAATCAGTCTTCCTCCAACATCAAATCCAACCGCGACAACCGCCTCAATATCATCATGTTTCATATCCTCCACTACCCCCTTCGTCCCCCCAACCCTCACAATCCTCACACTCCCATCTCCACATCCAACCACCACACATTTCCCACCATATCCGCCCTCCAAATCCTCCGGCATCGCAACCATAGCATCCAGACTCTCACCCCCCGCCTTTCCACCCCCATCAACAATAATCCTCTCGCTCTGATCATCCCAGACTCCCTTTTCCCAAAGCGTAATAACTCCATTTCCATTCCCTACACAAACTTTTTCTCTCCCGTATTTCCCTCTTGCGGGTAGCCCGCTCACAAAAACACTGCTGAGCAATTCCTCTTCCTGATCCTCACTCTTGACAAGCACTCCCCTCCTGAGATCCGTAACCGCTAATGTAGTTCCTCCCGTCGTAATCCACTGTTTACTAAACCCGCTCGTGCTCATTTCTGTAGGTGGGAGCGGTGATAAACTAGAAATGTAATCATCGTGTGGATAATGTGTTTGAGCCGGTTTACCAGATTTGAAAGAAGAATTGTCGCGGAGGTCGTAGAGATGGAGAGCGCAGGAATCGGTGGCTAGGAGGAGTGTTTGGGGAGACAGGGCGTGGAGAAGGGTGGGAGGATCGAGTTTATCGGTGTTGGTATTGGGGATGCGAATTTTGGAGGTTACTTGGCCGGTGGCAGATGCGGCGGCTTTGAGGAGGGAATCGGTGCCGGCGGAGTAGAGAACTGGGATTGAATGTTAGTATGTGTCAATTGGATAGTAGAATGTTAATTGGTGTGCAGATTTGAGATGAGATTCCAATCAAATAAAAGCATGGGAAGAAAATGGAAAACAAACCGTCACCATCATGGCTATACCCCAATGTCCTACAACTTCCCTTGTGTCTCCTAGTTCTCCATTCCGTGTCAATAGTACTAGTTCCCGTGCTTACCACACTCGTATCTCCATCTTCATCTTCAGCAGCAGCAGCATTAGGAGGCGGTAATCGATAACTTTGTACGTGACCAGACGAAAGACCAACTGAGAGGATAGGTTCGGTGGGATGTAGAGCTTGGGTGAAGAGCTCGGAGCTGAGAGGTAAAGAACAGAGGTTTTCAAACATGGTGGTTAGATGTAGGTATGATTCCTAGAAGACTATAACATTGTCTCATTGAAATAGTATTGATTTCGGATTCAATTGGGAAAGTTGGAGGGGCAATTGAATAAAACTTTCTTTTTCATGGAAGAGAAATTTTGACGAGGCTGGGGACGGGAAGGCTACACTTTTGCAACGGAACGGGACAGGGCTCACCGGGAACTAAGGCAGGCCGGTCGGCACCTTGCAGTTATCTAATCTGTAGCTTCTTTACTCTGTGATCAAATATGCCTACATCATGCAGCTCACCAAACTCACAAAATACATTATCTAACAAACTATTCGGATTCTTCATTAGTGAATGAAACATCTCCTTAACACATACTTTGCCACACCATGAAACTCTGTAAACCATCCAAGTTACTCAACCTCCACCCATTTCACACCCACCAATTCCGGTTTCTTCATCTGTAACAACAAGACGATCTCACTATCCCAAACACTCTTCTCCGCCCTTTTCCTTGCCTCTTCAATACTCTCTCCCTTTCCAGGAACCACCTCGATGCGATGCTTTTTAAACAACGAAACCATCGTCGCCACAAATTCCACCTGACCGAATTTCTTCCCCGGACACGCGCGTGCTCCTTCTGACCAAGGAACATACGTCCCTTTCTGTGGCGAGAAGATAAATTCTTCTTCTGGAGTTGAATTGGGATTTATTGAATCATTTGGAAGATTTTCCTCTTGGGTTCGAGTTTCGGAGTCGGATTTCTTACTGAGAATCCATCGATTAGGACGCCAGATAAGTGCATCAGAACCCCAATATTTCGGATGCGAGTGCATTGCGTTGATATTAGGTATCACGCGCGTATTTGATGGGATGACGACGGTTTTTCCATTGAGTGTCAGAGGCTGTGGTTCCACACCTGTTGATTTAGCGATTCCTATTAGGGGGTTTAAGAGCCGAAGAGTTTCGAGCTGGAATATCTTTTAGTTTCTCTCTCCCTATCAATGTGTAGATGGGGAAAGTAGGACGTACCAAAACAGCTAGACAACGATTCAATTTCGGATAATACTCTTGATATTTCGATTGAGTATCATCATTGATAACCACTGTACGTATCTCCTCGCGTAACCATTCCTGAACACCCGGATTGGCAGCAAGGAGATACAGAGCCCAATTCATCGTGATGGCCATGGTATCATGTCCAGCAAAATTATACACAAATATATTTCCATACACCTCATCCTGTGTTAATCCTCTTCCACCCGTACCCTTATCTCCCGTCAACTCAATCATTTCATCAGACGCCATGATTAGCGAATTAATAAGATTCCGACTCCCAGACTTTCCTCGATGTATAACCTCTTTCTCCTCTCTTACCATCGTCTCCATATGATCCCTAAAATCCACACAAGTTTGACCCAAACGACTAAACCTCTTCGGTAACCATTTATTGCTGAGAAACTTCGGCCCAAAAACTAAAATCATCAAAGCATTTTCCAAAATCAAAGCCAGCGAGTCCCGATAATTAAACATATGACCCTTCTAAGGAGATTCCGCTGCCTTTGTAAATGAATACGGCTTCCCAAACCCAGCGCCCGATAACACATGAAGAGATAGCGTTCTCGTATCTTTATGAGTACGACGAATGGGTGTTGGTAGCGTTTTCCAGTATTCTAGTACTTCGTTTGCTTGGGTTAGTGCTTGGATCCATACCGTGCTGCTATTTTGTTCGTTGAATTGTGCGCCGGTGACTTTCCGTTGGCGCTGCCAGTCTGCGCCGCTGGCCTGGATGGATATTAGTGGATAGTTCATGGAGAAGGGTGGATACCATGATAACACAATACACGTACGGTAGAAATATTAGGTCCAAAAACATCCAACATCGCTACCACCGAACACATCAAATTAGCCGAACCCTCTTCTCCCTATCGAAAAATCCCAAAGAAAAACCTACCCAGCATCTCCGCCGGTCTCGGAAACCCCTCTCTCTTCCGAAAAATCTCCACAAACGCCTCCTTCTCACAAACATAAACCCAGTTAAACCCCGGCGTCACCAGCATAACCGCATCTCCCTTTTCCCTATGCACACGATACTTGACGTAGTATTCCCAGCCCAGTTTGCCATAGCGCGTGATATCGCATTCGCCGTATAGGAGACGGATGAGGGGGAGGATGAAGCGCTGCGTGAGGACCCAGAGGGGATTGTCCGGGCTGGAGGGAAGGATTATGAGGGGGAGCTGGGTTTGTAGTGCGGTTTGATAGTTTTGGTAGAGGTGGTAGGTGGTGTAGAGGATCCAGGATAGGGGGAGAAGAAGGAGGAGAAGGAGGGTGTGCATGGTTTTGGGGGTCGAAGGGGGGTATTAGATTCAGAAGGATAGGATGAGATGGGTGTGTTGTGCTCTTATAGCATTTTTTGGTGTAAAAGAAAAGGAAGAGAGAGAAGGGAGAGCCGAAATGGACGCTGATTTTATTGCATATGAGAACCAACAGCGCCATGTGTTGGTTAACATGTTGGAAACGGCACCAATAACCATTAGGTTCCAGACTTCATAATTTTACTGCATAAAAATCGATGCAGAGTATGATTGATTCACTTGATTGAGGATGTGTGTCGTAAAAGCCGCGAAGCCGTTTGAGTCAAGGTAAAGCTTGCTTAAGCGACACTTGATTTTAGTTGAAGATTTCAATTTTAATCAGGGACAGAACAAATTTGAAGACTGGCACCTATGATAGCTTGATAATAACAAGAAAGCTATACTATAGCCAGAAAGGATTCGAAAGGATCACGATCGTCAATGAAAAGTACACAGTAAACAAATCTACATTGCTTAAATCATCATCGTTCATTCATTTATACCCTGTGGTTTAATTACATCAAGCTAGCCTCTAGTGACCCCTAAAACAGCAACATTCCATCCTATTTGATCTTGCACAAGCTAACGACAATGTTTACTTGATTGTCAAAACAACAGCTAGCCAATGATGAGAAGTATGGTCAAGCAGCAAAGCATGTTCCTCAACCAATGCATGCAATTACAAAAAAACTGCATTCCCCAACCTAAACTCCCATTCATATTCATAAATCATTCAAATCTGACCTCACAATCCGCCATCGAATCTTTTCGCAAGTGGACTTCCCACCTTTGGTGCCCACTGCAAACTCTTCCTCCTAGCAGCCATCAATCTCATCATGACACTCTGATCTTTTTCCTTCCTCAAGAAACCCATGCCGTCTCCCGAGTTTCCACTTCCACTGCTCTCATCCTCATCAAAGTTTACAAACTTCTTATTTCCACCTGGAGCTGTCATCTGCACCAATTTATCCTTCTTAAAATAATAAGGCGTTTGGGCACCTGGAGTTTCCGCACCCCACAATCCTTCTTCTGCATATGCACTGATTGTTTCCGGAGCGGGTGTAGCGGGAACAGGGCTTAACATCCAATTATCGTCACCCAATTCATCAACTTCACCCTCTTCATTGGAAATAGGCGATTTTTGCCACTGTGTCGATTCTCTTCTCTTAGATTTGAGGTTCAGTGGTGTGGTATCCGGATATGTCAAGGTTGAATATGTAGATTTTGCAGGTACAGTTGATGGGACGAGGGTGCCGTTGAGATTAGCAAGTGCGCGAGGTTCCATACTCTTACGACGACGTGCACCTCCTCGAGGAACCATGGCTGTATCAACTGCATAAGAAGCTTCATCGAGCCATTGGTTTTCACGTTCACAACTGTTGATCTTGTTAGCGAACTGGTACAAAATAAGGTATGCCTACCAAAAAGAACTAATAAACTCACTCTAAAACCCAACCAACACCAACACAAGAAACTACTCCTCCAGTTTGTTTAGCTTTCTCGAGTGTTCTCTTTCCACCATCTTTGAAAACAATATGAGTAATTCCAATTTTGCTTTTGTCATCACTGTTTGGATTCCATGACCATGTCTTAACACATTTGGCGCCCATCTGTGTAAGCAATTCGGTGAATAAACCACTAGCATCAGCGCCTTCAGTGGTATGTACATCAACAAAGACTACAACTCCCTTCAAAAGTGCTGTGTTGAGATCAGGACGTGGTGTACGGGCTGGCGTGGCGACTGTGGACCAAGTGACAGTCTCTGACTTAATAGGAGTAGCAAATTGTTGGCTATCGCCATTTTCAGTGGATTCCTCTTGTGGAGATTTAGGTGTACTCTTGGATGGCGAGTATGAGATCACGGTATTATTACGAGATAATGAGCTAGCTGGACGTGCAGCTGGAAGTTTCGAACTACTAGCGCTTCTCTTCGCTTGTGATGGCCGCATTGGAGTTTCATGAGCACCTTTAAGTGGCACTTTTGCGACGGTATGGAATGTTCTCTCGGTCAAAACACGCTTGGGGGTCGTGAAAGCTGCTGGTGCAGTTGGTGATTGAGGTGCAGGTGCCAAAAGTGCGGGATCGATTAACATTTCATTTTCATCTCCATATTCTTGGCTAGCGTCAGAAGGACTAGGCTCTCGCTCAGGTATTGGCTCTTCAAGACTGCCAATGATCGTTGTTTCATGTTCTTTATCTTCGCCGTTTTCTTCGTGGTTCTCTGCAATGACAAGTCCTTCATCTTCATCATTTTCTTCGTGCTCCTCTGCAATCTCATTTTCATCGTCATTGCCTGCTTCAAATGCCTCGGGATCCAGCATCGACAACTCATCAGCTTCTTCTGCGAGGTCCAGATCTTCCTCCAGGAGTTCAATATCCTCGAACTCTGGCTCACTGGTCTCAGCTTCAAGAGCATCAAGTGGAATAGATTCGTTTTCGGCCATGTTGAGTTCCTCTCGAATCTTCATCTCATCCTCGAAGTAACTACTCTTAGCTGGAGAACCTGCAGCCGTATTCAAATCGGCAAACACCTCATTCGCTGATACCTTTCGTGCGGGTGAGGCAGGGTCAGCAATTTCATCCTCGATTTCAGCAAATTTTTCAGGGCTTGCAGCCATCCAGTTGCTGAGTTGTTTTGCTAAAGGAGTGAAACCAATCTTTTCCTGATTGAATCTACTCGAAGATCGCATCGCTGATTTGATTGTAGTCATTTTAGGGGTCTTGTTGATGTTACCAAGCCGGACTGGTGTTGCAGGAGAAGAAGCGAAGTCGTTAGTGGAAACCTGAAATTTGGCAAGCGGGGCAAATGAATGTTTTTTAGCCGCAGGAGCAAGCTCATCTTCTGAGTCTGTGTTGTCGTCGATCGGTTCTTCGCGGAGCTCAAAAGAACTACCAGTATTTTTACGGGGAGGCGAGCATGGGGGTGTAGTGCTCTGAGCTTCGATAGTCCCGACTACTTCATTTTTATTTTCAGTGACCATTGGGTCGTCAAATTCTTCTTGAGCATCATCCACGACAAGTTCTGCGTGTTCGTCTGTTTGAGATGGAAGTTCAACCGCAGGTGACAAAGCTGGATCAGCAGAGCGCGGCATAATCGATGAGAGTCGACCGGAGAATTCTAGAACGGGAGTTGGCAAAGAGGTCGTCTCCTTCGAGATTGGACTGTCATTGGAAACACTGTTTTTGGGAGCGCTTGAAGGTATTGGAGGAAACATCAGACCAGGACGGATTGCGCTTTTCATGAGAGTTCTCGGGGTTTCAAATTTTGAAATCTTAAAGGTGCTGGCTTTTGGAGTGGCATCAAATATTGAAGCACCCTGATTGGTCCTGATTGGTGACCCAGCTTCATCGACTTTGGTAGGTGATTTTGGTCTTCGAGCTGGCGATTGAAGAAGAGGTGCTTTGAAAGGAGATGCGGTCGCTGAAGGTTCTGGTGCAAACAAATTTGGTTTGAAAGGTGATCGCATGCTATGTCCAAATTCAAATCTTTGCGCATTTGATTTCAATGTCTCCTTGAAAGGTGATGATTGTGGTGGGCGTCGAGCAGGGCTTGTCATTGTTGATGCATTGAAAATCTGGGTAGGTTCCATTAAAGGTTTATCAGCAAATGATGTAGGTATATCCAGTTTCTTCTCTGCAGTTTGTGGGGGTCGACGAGCTGGACTCATCATACTAGATGCATGGAAATCCAGTTTAGTTCCTTCTATAGGTTTTTGTGCTGCAAGGGATTTCGAGAAATCAATCTTTTTCGCAGTATCAAAGATACTTCCTGGTGGTTTGACAGGACTCTTCATCAATGATTTCATTGGAGTCTTTACTGTTGTCGATAATTCATCGTCTGACGACTGTTCCTTTTGCGCATTAACTTGTGTCGCTTTCTTCGGGCTTAACGGTAATGGTTTCTCTACCTTCTCGTCCTGGCCAGGCTTGGCTCTAGCACGAGTTGCACGAGTTGAAGCTGTTGCAGATGATACAGGCTTTCGAACCGGTTTTGCTCGCAGTCCTGAGGCGGTTTCTGCAGCCTTGGGCTTTGCTCGTGAGGATGGTAAAATATTCTCCTTGTCTGGTTCCTCAAATTTGACCCTCTTCTTCGGTCCCATGGCGCGTGAAAGCGTAGCAGAAGGAGCACGTGTGCGAGTTGTTTTCTGTGCAGGTTCCTCGACCACAATTGATTCTGGTTCCGCCTGAGATGCATCTTTCCTTGGTCGACCTCTTGCAGGTTTGGGGGGTGGAGGGGCTGGTGCTTCGATTGTGACTTTCTTTGGTCGACCTCGAGTTGCTCTTACAGGAGCCATGGTTTCCTCTGCCTCCGTTTCCACTTGTACATTGGTTTTTCTCGGTCGCCCGCGAGTGGGTTTTGGTTCTGGTTTGGTCTCTTCTCCTAATTCGTCGTTTTGTTCTTCATCATCTTCATCTGCTCTAGTCTTTCTCTTCGTACTCATTGTAACGGCGGTGGCCTTGGTTGCTTTCGATACGGCAGGTGCAGTTCTGGAAGATTTGACTCCAGTATCTTTTGTTGACTTTGCGGCTGCCCTCGCGCGGGTGACACGTTTTGGTGGTGATGGATCCATGATTGTAAATTATCCGACTTGTCGAGGTTAGTAAAAGTTTGGATTCAATCTCTAGATAGAGTTACATTTGACGCGATTTAAAATAAATGTAAGCAAGTCTTGAAATTTTAGTAAGAGTGAATGTTGATTTCATTTAGGAAGTACGGTAAGGTAAGGATTTCAAGCTAATGCAAGGATAATTATTGATAAACATTTTCACGGGTCTCACGTTGGCGGATCAACGAGCGCTGATCACGTGTCGAGAACCATGTTGAGCAACACGTCATGTCAAAATGTCTTGTACGAAGTACTCCAGCTACTGTACGATGTCTCGATATGTATCCGTGGACGTACCTCCAGCTAGCACAGGTCTCGCTTCAACCTCGTGACTGGAGTCTTGCGTCTTGATTGAAACCTTTCTTCTATTGCAACTTGATGATGGATACAAATCATAAGTACAGGAGATATTGGTTGAGTATGGGAAGTAGTCTTACATCGGTCCACGGGCTGCCATTTCAAAGGTGCAGGTGGATTCAATAGAAAGAAAGAATGGAGCATCTATCTCTCCCTGCAGCTGCTTTCAAATATCAGCAACACAACATTACAATCTATGAATCCTAACAAGAAGAATATCAAATCCATATATAATATACTTGATTCTTCGTCATGAACCAATCTATCCAGATATCAACATGAGGTTCTCGTGCATCTTTGACACTTTGCACAAGGCAAGGCAGTTCCACAATTTCTGTTCGACCTGGATCATGCTATCTCATAGTGACCTCATCGACATCAACACGGAACAATGCTTGAAAATACAATTTTCAACAAAACAAATGCAAGTCATCATCTCACAAATAACAATCTTACAAGGTTAGGTCTCAAGGGCTCGTCGTTTTATTATTTGTCCTGGGAAGAGTGACACACGGCGCACAAATTGTTTTGCGCCACCACGCAGCTGAATCGCGTCAAATAATTTTTAAAAGCAATAAGGTATTTTCAAGTGCAGTCAAAACTATCCTTCTGTTGACATCTCTCTCTCTCTCTCTCTTTCTCCATCTCTCTCTTCTGCTTGGTCTACGCTGCCATTGGGCAAGAAGGAATGTCGAGCTTCTTCACTGCAAACATAGCCGATCCTCCAAGTCCTCGAGATGTCGTTGGCACCTATCGTCAAATCTTCGAAAATCGCGTATCGGAAGGAACACTTCGACCTATGGTTGTACCATATAATCTCTATGGCTTTATACTACTAGGAATTTATCTCTGTGTGCGGCATACGAATCGTCCAACATTATACAAGGCGCGGTGGATTGTGTTGGCTGCTATAATATGGTTTCAGCTCAAAACACTATGGCACACCAGCAGCACGAATGTGGCAATCAGTTTCGTGGCAGGCTTGATGAGTATTTATGGAATCGTTACAAGTTTGACCTGGTTGTTATTTATGCGGCCACAATTCGATGCTAAGAGGATTGAGAAAAGGAAGATTCAGGAAAACAAAATCATTACAAAGGATAACAAGCGAACAACTAAAGCATATGGAGATGATATTCAATCAGATGCAAGGCGGCGCATTAGAGTAAGTGGAGAAGAAAACAAACTTTCCACTGGCTCAAAGACGTCAAACGGCAAAGATATAGGGCCGCTTCATGGGCAATCGGTAAATGAGATAACAGAATCTCAGTACTATTGGCAATCGTACCCAGATGGTATTCCGGAGAGATTGGACTGGATATCCGACTTGATCATCAATTTTCGTGGGCCAGGTTGGAGCTGGGCAATTCCCAATATACCAAAGCCACCTCCATCCGTCTACAACAAATTAGGAGAGCCTGCAGATGAGGCAGCGAAACATGATATATCTAGAACAGGAATCAAGCGCTTTAACAAAAGAAGTGAACTTTTCAGGGCTCAAGTTCCCCGTTTCATTGCTGGATATTTCTTACTTGACGTAGTCAAAACTATCATGATGAATGATGCATATTTTTGGCTTGGTCCCAACAATTATGCTATGCCTCCACATGTTGCAGTAATGTCTCCAATCATACGCTCTCTCTATCGCGAGCTTTTATCAATGGCTGGGGTACTCATTTCTTTAGACGTGGTTTTTCTTTTGGCCCCTCTTGTAGGATGTTTACTTCTCGGCCCATCCTCATTCATGGGTCTCAGGGGTGAAGCATGGTACTACCCAACCACATGGGGTTCTTTTTCGGTCATTGCAAATAAAGGCCTTGCCGGGCTGTGGGGAGGTGCTTGGCATCAAATATTCCGTCTCATATTCTCCTCACCAACAAACTATTTGATCACAAATAGATATTTAGATGCCAAGTCCTCAACTACAAAGCTCGTCGCTTCGGTCTTTGCCTTTGGTATATCTGGAATCTTGCATGCTGGTGGTAGTATATCTCAAATTCCCGAAACAAGACCATGGAATCCACCTAAATTTTTCATGCTGCAAGCGGTTGGAATTTTTTTGCAAACTGGCCTTTGTGCCTTCTTGTCTCAATACATCAAGAATACCCCAAAGCCAGTAAGGCAAGCAACGAATGTAGTCTATGCATTATCATGGGGTCTACTGACTGGATGGTTAATAGCGGATGACTTCGCTAGAGGCGGAATCTGGCTATATGAACCCATTCCCATTTCATTACTTAGAGGATTGGGATTTGCTGGTAAAGATCATGGGTGGTGGTGTTGGGAGCATGTAGGGCTTGGATGGTATACTGGAAAGCATTGGTGGGAGAGTGGCTTTACAATATAAGACGGTTAGAATTTATGATTTATGAATATTGCATTTCATGGCAGCATGGAGTCCGAAGGTTGGAGTTAATAGTATTTGAGGAAACAAAAATCATGCCTTGAGCGAGAGGCAAACGCTTAGTGGGAGCAAGATTTCACTGGTTCAAAGCGCAGTCTAAGGATGACGAGTTATTGCATCTCCATCTCTTTGGTGCATCAATCCTCTTCGTGGCTTTAATAATGCTGAAGAGTCTACGACTTTTTGAATATCAAACACTTTCGAACCTGCACTACATTCCAAATTCAAGAGAATTTAAGGACGTGTACGTAGAGGGATTGAGAAACCCAAGTAACACTAATGATATTCCTATTCGAATCTATAGCTTCATCGTATGCATTTTACTAACTGAATCTACGTTATCTCTTCCTCCCATGCAGCAATAGACACCCATTTCGCACATACTGGATTCGCGTCGATTATGGAATCGCAACCAAAAAAAACACAGACCCCTTCTCGAGAGCACCTCAACAATAATGCTAACATCTTATCATGTCATTACTTCGCATAAATCCGCTCACAAAGGTTAAAATCTCAGCCCCAACCTGTCAACATTTACCGAACGAAGAACCGCGCGAACTTTATTAAAAGCTCCCAACCCAAATTCAAACTTTAAGGTCCCGGATGAAAGGGCAGGAAAGCATTCCATCATTTAAGTACACTATCCCCATCCCCACGAAAAGGCCAAGTTCCCCATCCCCACAATCTGCCAAGCAGGAGCACACGCGGCATGAATTTCGTTCGCGTTTGGCTGTGCATGCATGTGTGTGTATGCTTGGCCACGGCAACCTCTCATGTGTCTTTGCTCTCTTATCTCCTCTATACCCCCGACCATGATCAACACTAATTTAATCAAACCCCAACATGCTTGGTAATGTGCTTTCCAAGCTTAATTTGTCGATAAGTAGATGGCTCACGTTCGGTACTAGTCTACTTACATTCATCTAAGTCATGTCAACGTCCCGCTTTCGTATTGACTGACCGACTCTCACTAACCAAGAAGGTCCTAAGTAGCGCCCACACGATTAGATACGTGAATTCTACTCGCTTTGGAGCTGAGCATGCGATGTTTAGTTTGTGGGGTAGCGACATGTGAAGGTGGACGGGTGTGGAGTGCCAGGTGTTAGCCCAAGGCAAACCCCGCGTTTTCGCTTCCCCAGATTTATTTCAATTCTACATTTTGTTGAAAGATGGGGGGTGTGATGAAAATCCGGAGTTATAAAACATTCCGTATTCCCCGTCGAAAGATGGGGATTATTTTTCTTCATCGGTTCAATTGGAAGTGGATTATTTTTCCTTCGATTTTGATATAGAATACTACCTCATTTTGCATTATGGGACCTCAAAATATTAATGCTGAGGAGAAATCGGTTGGGGTGGAGTCCAGAGATGAGAAACCTGGCGTCTTTCATGATGAGCATTCGGAGCATCTAAATAAGGGTGCTCATGCAATTGCAGAGAGAGGCAATGCAGCGACTGATAGGTTAGTAGTCTGAGATGTTCCTTGTCGCTTGGAATCGCTGCTTATTCGGATTATAGCCATGGCCAGTCACTTGTTACATTTGATCCCGTTGCGGAAAGAAAGTTGAGATTGAAGATTGATTTGATGATTGTTCCTACCGTGGCATTATTATATCTATTTTGTTTTATCGATAGAGCAAACATAGGTGAGTTAGAATACTTCTCCATTCACATCGGATGATACTAATATCGATGTTCAAGGCAATGCCAAATTAGCAGGACTTGAGAAGGATCTAAATATGAAGGGATACGACTATAACAAAGTCCTATCTATCTTTTACATCTCATATATCATCTTTGAAATCCCCGCGAATATGGCATGCAAATGGATGGGCCCAGGATGGTTCATCCCAGGAACTTCGTTAGCGTTTGGGATTTGCTCTATTGCCACCGCATTCGTGCACAACATCCACGCGATCTCAGGCGTTCGTTTCCTCTTGGGTATCTTTGAGGCAGGTATGCTGCCTGGTATCGCATACTATCTTTCCCGTTGGTATCGACGATCTGAATTGGCTTTCCGTCTATCGTTGTATATTGTCATGGCCCCATTGGCTGGCGCATTTGGAGGTTTGCTCGCCTCGGGGATTCTAAAACTTCCAGGCTTCGGCTCACTTCACACTTGGCGAATGATCTTCGCCATTGAAGGTATCATTACCTGTTGTCTCTCACTCATTGCCTTTATCACCCTGACCGATCGCCCTGCCACTGCAAAATGGCTCACGCAGGAAGAGAAAGACCTCGCAATCGCTCGTGTTAAATCCGAGAGAGTTGGCGCTACCGAAGTCCTAGATGCATTTGACACTAAAAAGGTTCTCCGCGGTATCTTCAGTCCAGTCACTCTCGCTACATCCTTCATTTTCCTCCTCAATAATATCACCGTCCAAGGTCTTGCTTTCTTCGCCCCCACAATCGTGAGGACTATTTACCCCACAGCCACTGTTGTCTCTCAACAACTACACACTGTCCCACCTTACGTTGTCGGTGCATTCTTCACAGTTCTTTTCCCATTCCTCAGCTGGCGCTTCGATCGACGCAACATCTTTTTAATCGCAAGCGCCCCCTTGCTTATGTGCGGCTACATCATGTTCCTCGCCAGTGACGATGGCCAAACCCGCTACGGAGCCACTTTCCTCATCGCCAGCGGAGCCTTCTCTTTCGGCGCACTGTGCAATGCTCAAGTCGCTGCTAATGTAGTTTCCGATACCGCGCGCTCTAGCGCAATCGGTACTACTGTCATGATGGGTAATATCGGTGGTCTCATCTCCACGTGGTCATTCTTGCCCACCGATGCACCTAATTACCATATTGGAAATGGGCTCAATCTCGCGACTGGAACGACTATACTGATTTTCTCGATTTTATTGCTCTTTTGGATGAAGATGGATAATAAGAAGCGAGAAGCGAGAGATGTGGATGCGGAGTTGAATGGGTTGAGTCAAATGCAAATCCAGGATTTGGATTGGAGACATCCGGGATTCAAGTGGAAGCCTTAGTTTGGATGGAAATTTGGTTGGCTTATTGTATTTTGGTATTTGTATTAGCTAGGGCAGCTTTTATTATACTGTAGTAGATGACCAATTACGAATTTATCTATGTTTTGAAATGAATTGCGAATAGTAAGGTGCTACATGAGAAACGACTCAATGAACGCTCATACTTTACCTCTTTACTTTCAAATCAATCATTATCCCTTTGATCATCGTGCCATTATTTACTATTATCACTATCCACTTCTTCACCACAAAGATCTAAAACGGCTTTCGTGATTGTCGGGGCTAGGTATTGTGAAGTCCTGGATTATGCTCTGTATATCTTACTTGTCTTGCGATGGTCATTGTTTCAATTGGATCTCTTCAGGGCACACACTCGCTTAGTTATCTTTGTATTCTTTTCTTTCCGTTTCCAGATTGTTATATCGTAGAATCGCTGGAATAGAATTGTTTCGTCATCTCAACGTATTCTGTTTCGATATTGAACTTTGAGAATTGAGATTCGCGAAATTTACTCCTATCTGATGAGGTAGGTAGGTACGAGAGGTCAATACCTTATCATTGGCTATTCAGTATTACTTGGATGACTACTCGCATGATCCTTCTTCTGTAAATCAACAGTTGATGGCACGGAAATGTATATGATTGGTGTTAACATCAACATGATAGGGCAGTTACTGTGGCTATGGGCCACAGCCTAGTACTACTGTGTACTTGATAGCTGAGACTTCTCTCATTCCACATCTACTCTTCTTTATAATCTACTTTCAATCTTCAACTCAATATGTCCGAACAAGTCAGCCAGGTCACCGATACAAATATTACCGATGAAGCCCAGAAAATTGACTATAGCGAATACAGCTGGAGTATCGCATCCGAAGTTACAGTTTGCACTCCTCATCCAATTCTCAAATCTCAGATCTAACATTATCCCCAGGCACGATTACAAGGCACACCCTATGCCAAAATATGGCGGACCAGTATGGAGAAATTCGCAGTCACTAGATCGATCTTCGATACACAAAGAGAACTTGAAGAATTGGTTGCCAACGCACCACTTCCGTCGGATTTGCTCAAGTCCAAGATTGAACCTTTCCTGATTATGCCTACCAGTACGCAAGATGAATGCCATGCTGTTCGGCTTACGCTTCATGGCATTCTTGATATGCCTTGTTATGAGTTTCCGCCCGGGTACCCAACGACGTAAGAAATGGAGATTTTCAGAGAGGATCTAAAGGTGAGAAACTATATTCCTAGTATTTTGTTGTAATATGTTAATACTTATCGACAGAAGCTATTGGGACCAGAAAGAGAAAATTGGTTCTGGAAAATCTACAATGGATTTCCAGGAAATAAAGGAGCTAACACAAAAGAGAGTAATGCAACAAGACAAGAATTGCTTGAGTTATTAGGAGAGCACGAGGAACTTCTCGGAGTATTCAAGAGTACTTGGCCAGCTGGAAACTGGGAAGTTCGCTTTATACCGAGTGGAAGTTATGGTGATGGATTGTAGATTTGAGGGCTGGAGTTTTGTATTTAGAGCCCCTTGAGTGATCAATGTGAAGCTTAGAGAAAGATATTTCTAGTTTGCTATAATGAAATACGGATTTGAAGAATGACTGACGCCAGAAATTCTTCAAGTATAATATAAGTACGAATCAAAGGAGAAATTTAAATTTCCAGCTGAGCCAGCATCTAAATAACTATTTGCCCAAGGTCTGGTATTCAAGTTCTATTGATATCTAAATTCGAAAGATCTCTCCCTTTTGTTTCTCTTCTCTCAAAAGCCAGAACCTTACAAAGTACATAGAATGAAAGAAGTAGAGTTCAAGAATGATCAAAACTTAAACTACCCTACCAAATCATCCATTAAAGACCTCGTAGAAAATAGGCCCTATATTTTGATCATCTTTTCAATCCTCACAGCTTTTGAACTCCAATACCACACGAACATCATATCTCACATAACATTCACTCGTAATCTCCCTCTCCACTTCTCTCTCCAATCTAACTAGCTCCTCAGCAGACAACGAATCGTCCAAGTTTCTCGACGAAACCAACCTCGCCCACCCAAAAATAGCATCCATCGCATTCTTCGCCATAGCCGCTCTCGTCTCTACGATTCGATCCGAACTAACAATATCCTCCACCACATCTCTCATTCCCACACTCCTCAGATCCTCGGAAGAATCTTCCATCCATACGAGAATTTATCCTTCATTCCCTCTTTAAAGCGTGCGCACATGTACCGAGATGCTTGCACGGATGAGTCAATGTCAGAACGGTAATATTGGGTTTCCATCCAATTGCATTCTTCCCACTGGATAGCTCCACCGGGTTTGAGAAGCTTAAGGAGACTCTGTACGATGGTTTTCCACTCTGTGGGGTTTATTCCTGCAGCGAGAAGTCAATCGTGGATGAGATCGTATTTGTTATGTAAGGCTGACGGCGGGGTTTCTTTGATGTTCATGACGCTTAGAGAAACTTGTGGGGACAAGAACTCTTGTGGTGGAAACAAGCTTGGGGGTATATCGAAGCCGTGAAGAACCGCATGAGGGTAGTCCTGTGCAAGTTGAGATAGAAAGAGTCCTGTGCCAGTGCCGATATCTGCTATTGCTGGGGAAGGAGGTGGTTTGGCGGCGATGGAGGGATGGATGAGGTACCCAATGTTTCTGGAAAATTGAGTCAATGATCAAGCAAATCCTTTTGGAGATTTGTGAGTGTAGATAAATACTTCATACCGACTCAGGAGGTCAAATTGCTCATTTAGTCTTTATAATATGTTAGTTTATGGGTATTCTTCAGCGAAGAAGTCTCGAGAAATTACATGTTTTCAGCGTAGATATCAGACATGGTTGATGTATACAAGGAGGAAGATTTCAGAACTGCTGGATCTATGATTGAGAGAAGAAAAACTGTTGAATAAAGAGGTCCAAGAAACATTGAAGGAGATACCATCTTATCTTTCCCTTCCAACCGTTGGCATACGGATCAACAGGGCACTTATCCAACTCCCAACATTTATTAGATTAAATAATTCACTCAGCCGACTCTCCCACAGTATCTATCTATTGCCACTCGACAGATTGTATCAACTTTGCGCGATTTGATGCAAGGTCCCGCATTATTACATACCTACATCTCAAGCTCTATATCGCATACAAAAATCACACCCAAAAAGAAAGCACAACAAATTCTTGTTCAGGAGAAAAAATTCATATACAACCACCCTTCATTCAATTTTCTAAATACAACTAACTAACTACTAAACACAAAATACCTCCGTCATTATATCAATGACATGAATGTCCAGATTCATATTCCTTTCAACAATAATTCATTTCTTTTCCTTCTCTCCATCAATCCATCTTTCTGTTTACCATTGACTTTTCCGATCCTCTGTCTTGCCAACACCAGATTGTTTCTCAAAATCGCGAAGAAAGGAAAAGGAAGGACAAGTGAAATAATCAATCTAGTAAAGGAAAAGAAAAAACTCCATGACAATGCCGGCTCCCCAAAAGGAGATTGCTCTCGGAGTATTCGTTGAAAGAAGAGATAAGGAAGACAAGGAAAACAAGACTTTCGTCTGATCTAAACGAAAATGAAAAGGAGAAAAGAAAGAAACATTGGAGAATAGATCTCCATACAATTAAGTAAATCTCGCCCGAACTCCGCTATTCACAGAAGGTGTTCATTCATAAAGGTCATCATCAAATCAAAATGTGGTATCAAACCCCGCCCATCCATCCATCCATCCATCCATCCATCCATCAAACAAGTCATCAAGTCATAATCCACCAAGCCCTAAATCATACTCCCATTAACATTAACCTCATACCCCTCACTCTTTTGTTTCAACGCCTTAGCCAACATCAACTCTCTCATCCAATCAATCCTCTCATCTCTACTCCTCACCGCAAAATAATGCGTTTTATTATTCGCTCCTGCATTGCCCACGCCACTCGGCATCAAGCTATCTCTCTTTCTCAATTTCACACCCTTTTCAATCGCCTGCGGAATCAATTGGAAAGCAAAAACGTCAACTTTCTTGTCTCGATCATTTCCGCGTCCCATCGCAATATTTACTCGTTTAAACGCTGCGTTGAGTTTAGAAGAGGAGGCTAAAGATGAACACGCAATGGCGTAATCGTCAACATCGATGTATTCTAAAACATCGAGAGCACGAGCATCTTTGTGCATGGCGAGAGTGGTGCCGCGGAGTGTGAAGTGATGTTCATGCCACTCGTGACGAAGCATCTTGGTGCGGCGCTTTTTCATCCAGCCAGCATAGGAAGGTGTGTCTTTCTCTGGGGAGGAAGTGTTGGAGGAAGATGTAGAGGAGGAGTGAGGTGGTAGGGGTATCGACGTGGCGCTGTGAGTTGGATTGGGATTTGGACCGCCGAACTGAGCCCATGGATCGGTTGTAGAGTAGGCACGGATAGAGGTCGCGATACCTACTGGATGCGTGGGATCCCTGATGGTGTTTGAACTTTCTGGAAATGTGTGGGCTGGTTCATTGGGAACAATTTGGACTTGAGCTGGCTGGGAAGACTGGGTTGATTGAGTAGCTCGATATTCATCAACTCGGGGAAGAAGAGAGGGACGACGGTTAGAGATACGAGAAAGACTGCGTTGAAGAGAGTTGGCCATCGAGTTGTTGGTAGATGTGTTGGTGATCGGGCGGTAGGTCATATTGGGTGGAACGGACTGAGAAGCCTCTCTCGCGACAGGACTCATAGGTACAGCGGTAACCGGCACGTCCATCTCGGAAAAGGGAGTACCAAATCGATAGACCGACGGAGAGCGGGTTTCGTTGCGGAGCTCTGGAGAGAGAGCTTCTGCGCGGTCCATGTGATAAGGTGAAAATGCGATAGCGCTGTTTGGAACAGCGGTTGCACTACAAGGACCATATCCATTGGCGCTCTGGGATCTGATGGGTTGTTCAGGACGAGGTGGAGGAATGGAAAGTTTAGGCAAGCCTCTGAGACCCGCAATGGGTCCTTTTAGTGGCGGAAACATTTCATATGGAGGGGTTGGAGGTTGTTCGGATGATTGGTTTGGTGCGAGATGCTGGAATCTGATGAATTGCTTCACATTATCTTGAGGATCACGTAATCCAACATCTCTAAGGCTCTCCTCTTCTAAATAACGAAGAGCAGGAGTGGAGCCAGGACCAAGAACATCTGAAGATGCAACAACTGAAGGTACTGCATCAGAGATTGGACGAGCTGTGAGAGCATTTCCCGGATCACCAGCAATGAGTAGTGAGCCACCCTCTATTTTAATTATTAGTGCTAAACTCAAATATTCTGTCGCAAATCGAAAACGTACCTTCGGGACTGATCGGATGATCCTTATTGAAAGCAGCAATCAACCGTTGTTGTTTCCTCCATTTTGAACAGTTTTCTCCCTTTGAGCATTTGTGTGGTTTTGGCATAAGTTGTTCGATACCTACAATTGAGATAGATTCCAAAGGCAAAACAGTCTCGTGTTTATTTGCTCTCTTTGAAGCCTTGCGCCTTCTAGACTGACCTCGCTCTTTGCCATTCGAATAATTCTCTTGTCTACCTCTTTCCGATCTATCTCTTATCAAACGGAATTCTGTGGCTGGAGAAGTTTCTTCGATGGGGGTAATTGGCTTGGGTGTACTTGGAGCACTCCCTCGCAAGATGTGAATCTCGTTCCAAACTTTTGTTCGTTGACCAAATGATGAGATACCCAATTCTCGGAGATCCTCGAATTTAAGAGTGGTCAGAATCGCACCCGAGATGTCATTCTCTTCGAATTTCTCCACAATCGACCATTCGAAACCTGCATCGTGCATCCATCTTGCGACTTGGCGTGGTGTCCAGTGAGTGATGTCATTCAGGTTCAGATCCGCGATATTTTCGGTCAAGAGAGATAATCTCTGGCGCCTCATGGGACTATCTGGTGAGACTGGAGTAGGCGGGCTGACTTGGTGTCGCGGTGTGAGTACTGATGGTTGTGGACTTATCGGTGACATTTCCAAAACATATTGATCCGGGATATCCAGCGACGAGGAAACAGAGCTGCGGAATAGATGGGGTCCCCGAGGTCCTTCGACCGGCTTTTTCGGACCCAAGTCGAAATTGAAGGATTGGAATTCATTTGAGGCCGATGTGGGTGTAAATACTTCTTCGTAGGAGGATAATGTTGTTTCACTCGCTCGACCTCCCTGAATAGTGACATGTCAGTACGAGAGATAACAAGAATGAAACGTTTTACATACTGATCTATAACTTAGACGTGGGTAGTCCAAGTCTTCCTCGAAATCCGATCCATATGCGGCCTCCTCTACATATCGTGGAGTATCTTGGTGATCTTCGAATTCCTCAACATCACTTACATCATCCTCGAAGTCAGTATCGAATACAGTTGCGGATGATAAAGGTCGCTCAGGACGATGCTGTGTTTCTTTGAAACCGAGAAGAGTATCCCGGGGTTGATTCGCGAAACCTCTTTGGTACATGTCCAGCCGAGTGTCGATGGCTGTCAGAGGGGTTGTAGCCTACATTCATCGTAAGATTAGTATGGTACTTCAATATACGTGAGCATATTACTGGCATAGCCTCATCAACTCACCATACTGCCTAGTACAAAGACGGGAATAACAATTGATAACTCGGGCAGTACAAGAATACTTGCAAGACTGCTTGCTTGCCCGTTGCCGGGGGTATCTTCTATGAGCCGAAACAAGTCCAGACGAAATCTTATGAACCGAGATAACGATAAAGCAAATTTGCAGCAAAAACCAAATTCAATCTGACATGAATGAAGCGTAAAATTTCAAAAGGATCAGAAGGAGGAATCGGGGTTAAAGTCAACGGCGTCTAGGACAGTATATGTATCGCCATTTTTGAAACGAAACGATATATCATGGGCCTCAAGTATACCAGAGCTCACCAATGGGCAGTATAACGTCCCGGCATATTTTCTATATTGTGAACTGTGCTCAGCATTCCTGCATGAAGATTGTGACTATTCTTGAGAATAATGCCACACAATGCCACAAGGCCCTCGTTTGTTTCCCTTGAGCCATTGAGACGATCGGGTTGCGACCCTTGCGACCCTACATCGCAGGAAACTTAGACCCAATAAGGAGAATATGCTAGGGTAAGCATGCAGAATACTCACATCCACGCATCTCTCACGCAGGTCAAATGAAGGGAAAAATAGAAGACGTTCCAATAATATTCAAGCTTGGTCAGATGGATCCTGCAGAAAAAATCCATGATTGGTTGTGAATGGTCGGATATTTCTGCATCTACGCGCCGAGTCACATCTTTCTTCGTTTATCCTGGCTAACGCACATAATTCGTCAATTGAATCATTTGATTCGTCCATTGAAGGAGAATTTTCCTACTCTGTATGATTGCTCATGATTTGACCGAGGATGCCCAGAGAAAATCTGCACATCCAGACCCTTTAATTTTTCTCATATCATCCCGCCTTTTTCATCGGGCTATCGGGCACCGGCTTGTGTACCTAAGTATCTAGTCCCGAGACAGAAGAAAATCATTTTAGTCCATAAGGCCAATAAGCAATTGAGAATGCCTTCTATTATCAATATATTGAGCACCAAAACTACTTATGTTGAGTGAGAACTATATTTAAGTGGGAAATTCTCCAGTCTCGTTTAGGCTTTTACGGTGCGGTCCGTTGATGAAGGGGTAATTACTCGAAGTAAAATGAAATTCCAAGGTTGAAGCTTGTTGGAATACTTCAAAAATGTTGTAAGATAATTGGAACCGCTGGTCTAAGATATTACAAGCATGAACACTCACATCAGTAACGGAACTGCAAGAAATTTGTACGTACGGATTATCGGCATT